TAACAAGTGCCTCTATTTCTTTCAAGCAATCCGGAAGAAGACCATTTTTAAATGGGGGGATGATGCTGAGGCGACCTTCTAAAAATTGAAACAACACTAGCACTCCTTGCCAAGGCTTGTTAGCCCTCTGCCTAGGGAGACACTTTACATGTATTTATTTGTCTCAGATTATGCTCTTAGTGTTGTTCTCCTTGCTAAGAGAGACGACATCCAGCTCTTGTTTTTATTTTATTATCCATGTTCTTAGAAACAATGAACTCTGGTACCCAACAATTGAAAAATATGGTCTCACTCTATTTATGGCAAGCAAGAAATTGAAGTCGTACTTCTTAGCACATTAGGTGTTGGTTTATACAGACCAACCTCTCAAGCGGCCAATGAAAACCTTAGAGTCATGTGGCCGAATGCTCAAATGAGCTATTGAAATGCAAAGTCTGGAGATCTACTTCAAATTAAAGAAGTAGTGGAAGATAAGGCATTCGTCGACTTCATTGTTGAAATGACAAGGCCAGTTGAATCGGAAAATCTTGATCAAGTTTCGAAGGTGTATGTAGACGGGAGCTCTAGCATGAACGACTATGGTGAAATGATTACATGTTAGCCTCTTTAAGAGGCCAAGACAAGTACGAATATGCACTACAATTTAAGTTTCAAGTCTCAAACAATGAGGATGAGTATGAAGCCCAACTGGCCAGTGTACGGATATGTAAGGCAACAGAGGAAAGAAGAATTAAAGCGTACTCTGATGAGTGGCATTTATGCCACTCTTTTATCCTTTTTCCCTAAGGATTCTCCTCTCATTTGCACTTGTTTGGCCCTTTTTCTAAGCATTTTTACTTAGTTTTGCTTCCTCTTTTTTTTTCTCCTTTATTTTCCCTTTTCTTAGTCTTCTCATTTTGTTTTTATTTTGATTTCCATGCTTTTGTTTTGTAGGTATTATGTGCCGAAAGAAAGAGGATATCAAGAAGCCAAGCTAACTGTTGTGCGCGGAGTGCTGTGCGGCTGCTGTGCGGGCGCGCATGTTTGGCTGTGCGGGCGCGCAGCCCTGTCAAAACCCGCGTAGCCAGACTGAAGAAATAAAGCCTAACCAGAGAGTTTGTGTGACTTGTTGTGCGTCTTCTGTGCGGGCGCGCAACCTGATGCGCGGGCGCGCAGGCCTACTGTGCGGGCGCACTTATTTTCCCCATACCCTCAAAGTTGCGGCCGCGCACTACGCTAAGAGGGCGCACACACCTACTGCGCGGGCGCGCATATGTCGTGCGCGGGCGCGCACAGCTGGGTTTCCGATTTATTTGCGCCTTGTTGTCCAAGTCTCTTTCTTTCGGGGGGGGGGGAGCCACATATATATAGAAGGGACTCTTTGTAATAGAAAACACTTAGTACTAATTCCATAGAACATTAGCCTAATCTAGACAGAGAAAATAGATTGTTATTCAAGCATCCTTTATTGTATTCAACTTTGCTCAAGTTTTAATCTTCCATCAATCAAGCAAGTATCCAAGTTTTCATCTTTCTTTAATCCTTTCTTTAGTAATCTCTTCTCCTTTCCTTTAATATTATTTATTTGTTTAATTGTTACTTATTTTTGTCAATCTTATTAGTTTATCTAGTTATTATTGATTTCATTGATTTCAATCATGTTTTGTTTTGAGTTTCTTGAGTTTATTTCTAGTTTTGATATTATGTTTAATCTCCCTTCTATAGGCTAAACTTTTAGCTAGGGGAAGAGGGTGGAAGATATGATTTGATATTGGATGAATGATGATGGTTGGATTGAACTTATGCCATATATTGATGAAAGACATGATTTTTATTAGCTTGGGATTATTGTTGCACTCTATTTGATGTTTTCTAGTTTAAATGCATGAAAGTGATTTTAACTAGATTAGGATCACCTCTATTTTAATGATTGCATGAGAATGAGTTATTAAAGTGGAGTTTTTATGGATTGTGCTTCTTTATTCTCTTGATTTGATTGTAACTAATAGGATGCATGAGAATGATCCTTATTAGTGTAGACCTCTTTCATTGATTTGCCTAGACTATTGCATGAGAATGAATTGTTTAGGTAGAACCTTGTGTTCTTTGGCATATGTTTCATGATAATCACCATTATTCTCCTCTTTCTAATCATATTGGACACCCCCGTATCCCTAGCGTCATTTTCTATTGATTTTAATCATCATTTTCTTGCTTACTTGTAGTTTTAGTGTTCTACTCAACAAAACCAACAAAAACAATCCCCTTTTCACTCTTGCATTAGTGAAATTTGATGTTGAATTAGCGTGCTTCCCTAGTGGTTTGACCCTTTACTTGCCACTAACTAGTTTAGTGTAGGTTTAGGTATTATAAATGATTAATTTGGTTAGGGTGGTAGCTTAACGACCTATTTAAAAAGTTGGTCATCAGCCAGTACCATGGTGACTATGAGGCCAGCCATCCTGCTATGGTAAAATATTTATAGGTGGTCAAATAAGGGGACGGGACACTTGATGAATTTCTTGTGAGTCGAGTGTCAGGTCAGAAAAAAATTAGGCGGATGCTCTTTCTAAGCTAGCATCATCCGCCTCCTGTAATACACCTCTGTCAGTCTTTTGGGAAGTAATGGAAAAGATAAGCATCAAAGAATATCTCATTGGAATTCATAAACGAAGTTCAACATGGATGGACGACATCCGAGCATATCTGCTAGACGACACTCTGCCGGATACTTATCTAGAAATGGCCGCAACAAAAAAGCATGCGGCCAACATTAAGATCCACAACAGAGAAATTTTTAGAAAGGATTTTTTGCAACCTTTTTTTGAAATATATCACCCTTGAAAGGGGGAAGGATATTCTGGAAGACTTGCATTTGGGATTTTTTGCCTCACACATAGACGGAAGGTCTTAAGTAGAAGGGGCCAGGCGAAAAGGCTACCTTTGGCCCACTCTTGAGACTGACGCCATAGATGTAACACCCCAATAATTCTCCCATTTCCAAACCACTTACTTTAAATAAAAATAGAGGAGAACCATTAGCATGTTACAGCCACATGTTAAAACGTTAAGGCTTTATCAAAGTATTGTAGCGGAAATCCAACTTAAATCTTAAAATAATATAATTTAGAAAACTAATGAGTTAAAACTTACAAATTGGAACCATAAAGGCCCATATTAAATCAAACCTGTTGAGGGTAAAAATACCCATACACGTGGACCAGTCGCGTAGCGACACGTGTCACTATGGGAAGACGCCACACGTCCAGCATAAAAGCACTCAAAGGGCTTAGGCCAATCCTGTAGCGACACGTGGCCCAATGAGAGGGTGACACGTGTTGTTCAAGGAAGATGCCACGTGTTTAGGGCATACATGACCCCTCAGATCAGCATGCAAAAGAGGCCTAATTACATCAGGGCCCAAATCCCGGGAGATATCATTGAAAGCCGCAAAGCGGCGCCCCCAAAGCGACACGTAGCGTTCTCCGATTGCGCAGCCAATCACGTCACACAATTTTAGGGTATGAACCCTACAAAGGGGCACAATCTCCATCCCCATAAATACCCCAATCATTTATGATGGGAGTGGTGGATTAGGACACTACAAGAAAAAGAGCATTAATAGCTCCAACTTCTCTCTACTTTCTCTCTCTAGCCTTTTCCGTTTCTGATCACTGACTTGATCGTCGAATATTCCGACAAATGGAATATTCGTTGTTTTGCAGGTGTATCCGTCTCGTTGCTAGGAGAGCGTGACCAGTATCCGAGGAAATCCAAAAAACACCCGAAACATTTGGCGTCGTCTGTGGGGATACTCGAACGTTATGGAAATATACGGTCGGACACCTAATCCAGGCGAGGATGGACATGTAGAGGATATAATCCCTACAATCCGTACCAACGATCCGTTGATTGCCACATTTCAAGAAGCTGATGACCCTCCTGTTACCGCAGCCTCTCTAAAGGCCGCACTCAACAAGCTACGGAAGGAGTTTGAGAGAAACGGAGCCTTTACCTCTAGGCAGCCGCCCAGGAGAGAGGGGGAGAGGGCTCCGAAGAAAGCACAAAGCAAAGCGGCCAATGTAACGGACGCTGGGAACACCCCCTTTCGTAGGCCGACTGGAAGGTCCCCAAGGGTACCGCGGACAAATTTCTCTGATCTGTTGGCGAAAAGACAGTCGGTTGGGGGGAGGAGTAGGCATTCTCGAAGAGAGGAGCCTGAGCCGTCTAGACGATGGAAGGACGCAAAGGATTACCTTCGGCATAAGCAGCGGGAGCGTGCCGCTTACTCGGACACGGCCTCAACCCCAACTATGCCGGATGATTTTTCAAATCATTCTCCCTCCCAACATACCAGCACGACCATCTCAAGCCGAATTCAAGTCGTCCGCACTCCAACTTCTATTTCAGTCGTCCGCACTCCAACTCCTATTCCAGTTCAATCACTCCAATATCAACCTCCCCAGGGATTCAATGGCTTGATGCCGCCGAATCCTCAAGTCTTCGGACAATATGGGACATGCGGGAAGATGTACGGTCAGGCTCCATACCTGGCTGGATCGTCCGTGCAGCCACAACCAATTGATTGGCAGATGCGCCTGCTGACTCTGGGAGATAAGTCGCCTCCGTTTTCGCAAGATATTTTAACTTCCCCTTAGCCGCCGAAGGTGAAAAGTGAACTTGTGGGAGCTTATGATGGTACGGGCAACCCAGAAGAACACATTACCTCGTACAGAAACCTGATGTACTTGTAAAGTGTAGATGATGCTACCTGGTGCAAATGCTTTCCGTCCACTTTGAAAGGTGTGGCACAACATTGGTTCAATAGCCTCCCGGCTGGATGTATCAATTGTTTTACAACTCTTAGTTTGTTGTTTGTGGGAAATTTTTCATACAACATACCACCTCGAAATACTAGCCTTAATTTGGCAACAATTGTTCAAGGGAAGAATGAGGGCCTACGGTTGTACGTCCAGCGATTTAACCAAGAAAAAGCCCAAATTCATAATCTGCCGGATGAAATGGCTTACTCTGAATTTCTCCTGGGATTAAGGCATAATGGTTTTAAATTTGACTTGGTAAGGAAAAAGATTCGGACATACGCAGGTGTTTTACGAGAAGCCGAAGCTTATATTGAAGCGGCGGACTTTTGTTCGCTCATAAAATTAGAAGCACCGGCCGACCAAAAGAAAGAAGGAAAAAAGAGAAAAGAAGTCTGGGTGGCCGATGGCCAGCCGCAGAAGTCCAAGAAGGTCAAGACGTACGAGCCCCAGTATGAGTTCAATAAGGACTGTTATTCTATCTTGATGGAAATCATGGATAAGTTTGAGTTCGAAAAGCCACAGCCGCTGAGAGGCCCGACTCAATACAAGAACAAGAACAAGTATTTTCATTACCACAAGGACGTGGGACATGACACGAACGATTGTATCAATTTGAAGAGACTGTTGGACAAGTTAGCCGAGAAGGGCATGCTGAATTCTTATGTAATGAAGTCCAAATTTACTTACACACGGAAAAATAACACTTCCGAGAAAAGACAGAAAAATGATAAGAACAAAGACAAGGAAGATGATGGGAATAGCACTGATTCAGGCTTTGCCGTGATATCAGGAGGATTCGCCTCAGGCGGCCCAACCATGAAAGGGATCAAGCAGGACGCCTGGAACTTGGGAAAGGTGATGCAAGCAGATACAATAAAGGCCGAACCCTTTCCCAAAGTAATCATCAGTGAGGCCGACCGGGGGGAGGTCAAAGCCCTGCACAATGATCCCATGGTATTCATTATGAAGATAACCAATTTGAAGGTCGGACGAATATTGATTGATACGGGTAGCTCGGCTGACATTATCAGCCAAGCCGCCTTGAAGAATCTAAGCTTCCCAGAGGATGCTCTTCAGGACATCACTCACCCGTTGGTAGGATTTGGGGGGAATGTTATCCACCCGGTGGGAAGGATAGACCTACCCGTCCGCTTTGGGCAAAAAGGGGAAGGAAGAGATATGGTTGTCCGCTTCCTGGTCGTAAAAGAGCTGACTGGATATAATGTCATACTCGGCCGTCCTACGCTGAATGCAGCCAAAGCAGTCATTGTACCTCATCTAATGCTGCTAAAGTTCGAGAGGACGGACGAAAAAATTGGGACAATCCAAGGGAGTCAGAAGATGGCTAAGGAATGTAATCAATTGGATGTCAAGCCCAAAGCACGCGGACCAAAAGTGTCCGAGCCAAAAGAAGAAGGAACCTCACTCCCAGCATACCAGGTCGGCCAGAAGCGTAAGGCTACCAAGATAGAACAAGCATAGCAGCTAATGACTGTCGGTCGTCCAGAAGAGTTACGGCCCCAGCCGACCGGCAGTCACCAAGATATAGTGCTTGACCCCGATCAACCAGATCGGACGGTTAGTGTGGGCACTATAGCTTTGGGTATTCTTGGGGATGAGTTAATTCAACTACTAAGAGAATTCAAGGATGTATTTGCATTTGACGTCGGTGAGATGCCAGGAATAAGCCCTGACCTGGCCGTGCATAAGCTGGCTGTGAACTCAGCCGTTAAACCCGTCCGCCAAAAGAGAAGAAACCATGGAGAAGAGAGGAATCAGGAGGCCGCAGCTGAGGTAAAAAAGTTGCTAGACGCCGGTTTCATTCGGCAATGTTATTACCCAGACTGGGTAGCTAATGTAGTTCTCACTACTACAAAATTGGCCAAAGAGACCTAACATAAAAGACCTGTTATCTACATAACAGGTCTCTTTGGTCCAAGAGACCATTTATCATTGATAACGGGTCTCCCATTTTATTTCTTTACGTGGTCAAAAAACTCAAGAGACCGGTTATTTAAGATAACGGGTCTCTGTGATTTTCTTTTAATATTTTTTTAATGATAAAAACAATTTGAGACTGGTGGTGTAGATAACAGGTCTCTCGCGGATTTAATTTTTTTATTTATTTTTATTTTAAAAAATTTGGAGAGACCTGTTTGGTTAGTTAACAGGTCTCTCTACATTCTTTCCTAAACCATCAAAACCCTAACTCTCTAACTCCCCGCCTCTTCACTTTCTCTCTCTTCTCATTTGCCCCCTTCGCCTACCTCCTCACTTTCTCCTCCAGATTTTCCTTTTCATTGTTCTCCATTTCCTATCTACTCTCACAATCTAAAAAATCTAAGGAGAGGTTGCGATTGTAGAAGTGTCCTCTTAGTTCTCCAATGAAGAAGTTGTAAGCCTTTTCTCTTCTCCTTTGAAGCAATTTGTGGGCTTCAAGTTTTCAACATCTCCATTTGAGCATGCATTCATAGGAGATGTTTAAATTTTGGGTTTAACAGTCATTTATAACATACTATGTTAAATTTCTGGTATGTTTTTTAGATCTTAGCTATTTTATCTTAGAGATCTGATTAATTTTTTACTAATTTTTTTTCTTCATATTATGTTCTTCTAATATCGTTTTCAAAAACTTTTGATTCAAGATTAGAGATACATGGGAGTTATATTTAATAATTTTATTTTTTTTTGGATTTTTAAAACTAAAATTAGGTGCCCATTGAGATTCTGGACGAAGGAAGGTCCAAATTGGTTGAAACAAGTAAGGAAAATGGAGATCTAATTTCTTGTATGATTTTTGTTTTCAATTTTGATAACTTTAAAATAATTCTTTAGATTTTTTTTCATTTTCTTTTTTAGATTTTATAATCTTCGTTTTCGATTTTAATTTTTCAATTTTAATTTTTGCTTTTTTATTCTGATTTCAAAAAATAGTTTTCATTTTAATTTTCTAATTTTTGTTTTAGATCTTATCGCTGTTTTGTTTTTTTTTTGGTAATTTTTTAACATTTTATTTCGATTGTAAATTTTGATATAGTTTGTGATTATACAAACTGGTAATTTCTTACTGGTATTTTTTTTGGTTTATTTTTTTTTCTTTTCTGTTTTTGCTTTTTAATTTCATTATTTATCAGTACATTGTATTATGACTTTAATTTTTTTTAACTCTGTAAAATTCTATTAACGGTAATTAAATCTTTAATTTTTTTATTTCTTGTGTTTGATGTAAATCTTACCTTATTATTGTTCGGTCTTATTATAGGTTATCTATGAGCTAATGTTTGATGGAGATGATGATATGAAGTTGACAAGGGATGATAAAGGATGATGAAGATGAAACACTCCAATGAAACAGGTGGATGATAGTTCATTTTTAGTGTTAACTTTCTTTTTATATGATTACAGATAAATAGATTATACTCCGTAGTACCTAGATAAATTATCTAATACATACTATAAATTATCTAATATGTAAATGTTATACTTCATATGTATTATGTATTTATTTTTTGAATGAAATTAATTGAAATCGTACATTTGTTTTTGTAATTTTTTTTAAAAAATGGAATGTAGCAAGAGACCACCTATCTAACCTAAGTGGTCTCTCTTTAACTCACAAAAGAGACTACTTTTGTAAGTTCACGGGTCTTAATTTTTAAAACAAGAGACCGCTTTTCTGACAAAAAGGGTCTCTTATGCTTCTATAATTTTAATATTTCAACCATCCAAAGAGACTGCTTTTCTAAGATAACAGGTCTCAAGTTTTGAAACTTTAGACCGCCTCTATAGAAGCAGTCTCTTAGCCAAAGAGACCGCTTAGCTAGAGACCGCCTCTAAGGCAGTCTCTTTAGCTAATTTAGACGGGTCTCTTTGGCCAATTTTGTAGTAGTGTCTCGTGAAGAAGCCGAATGGAACTTGGAGAATGTGCGTGGATTACACCGATCTGAACAAGGCATGCCATAAGGACAACTTTCCCTTGCCCAAAATCGACCGCCTGGTTGATTCAACGGCCGGGCATGCCCTGATGAGTTTTATGGACGCATACTCCGGATTCCATCAAATTCCCTTATTGGAAGAAGATCAAGAGAAAACAACGTTCGTAACTGAGCAGGGGTTTTACTGTTATAAGGTTATGCCATTCGGCCTCAAGAATGCCTTAGCTACCTTTCAACGACTAGTTAATACAGTCTTCACAGATCAGCTCGACCGGAATATGGAGGCGTACATTGTTGACATGATTGTCAAGTCAAAAGAACCGGCTGACCACCTAAAGGATCCGCGAGAAACTTTTACCGAACTCAGGCGGCATAAGATGATGTTAAATCCAAAGAAATGTGTCGTTGGTGTTGAGTCCGGTAAATTTCTCGGATTTTTGATTGATCAACGTGGAATTGAGGCCAACCTTGAAAAGATTCAAGCTGTCTAGGACATGAAGTCACCGAGGACAATTAAAGAAGTACAAAGATTGACAGGCTGTTTAGCAACACTTGGTAGATTTCTGTCAAGATCAGGGGATAAGTGCCGTTATTTCTTTCAAACCATCAAGAAGAAAGCCATGTTTGAGTGGACAGAAGAGGCCGAAGAAGCATTCGTATAGCTAAAGAGCCACCTTCATACATTGCCTCGGCTCGTCAGTCCACTCAAGAATGAGAAGCTATTTATCTATCTCGCCATCTCTAAACACTCTCTAAGTGCCGTCCTGCTTGCTGAACGGCTCGACCACCAGATCCCAATATATTTTATCAGCCATGTGCTTCACAACGCCGAGCTGAGGTACCCCCCTATTGAAAAATTTAGCTTGGCATTGTACATGGCATCGAAAAAGCTGCGGCCGTACTTCTTGGCACATTCAATTGTGGTATACACAGACCAACCTCTGAAGAAGCCATTTACAACTTTAGAGGCAAGTGGCCGTATGCTCAAGTGGGTCTGGGAAATGAGAGGCTTTGACATTACGTTTGAGCCAAGTAAAGCAATCAAGGGACAAGCCTTTGCTGATTTTTTAGCTGAGATGACTCGGCCTGATCTTCACTCGGCCGGAGACCAAGTCTGGAAGGTGTTCGTGGATGGTAGTGCAACAGCTACCGGGTGTGGTGCATGTGTCATATGTTAGTCTCCCGAGGGAGATAAGTTTGAGTATGCTCTGAGATTTCACTGTCAAGCCTCTAATAATGAGGCCATGTATGAAGCCCTCCTGGCCGACCTTAGAATGTGTAAGGCGGCAGGAGCAACAAAAGTGGATGTAAGCTCGGCCTCCCTACTTGTAGTCGGCCAGGTGAACGGAGACTTTAAGGTAAGGGAGCCGACAATGATGAAATACCTGAAGATTGTCAAGGAGGAGGTCAAGGGCCTAGATCATTTTAATCTGCAACAAGTTCCTCGTTCGTCTAATCATCAAGCGGACGCCCTCTCTAAATTAGCATCCTCAACATCATGTGATACCCCCAAATCAGTGTTTTGGGAGGTAAAGGAAAGAAGGAGTATTGATGCCTAGCCAGTACAAATCATTGATAGAAGCTCCACTTGGATGGACGTGATCATTTCTTATTTAAGGGATGGGTTACTTCCGGCTGATCCTAAAGAGAGCTGACTGATGAAGAGGAGAGCGGCCTGGTTCGAAATGAAGCAGGGGGAATTGTTTAAAAAGGCATTTGTGAAGCCGTACCTGAAGTGTATTACTCCAGAGAAGGGGCATGACGTCCTGGACGACCTTCACCAGGGGCAATGCGGTTCCCATATTGGAGGGTGAGCCTTGGCTGAGAAGGCTGCCTATCTGGGCTACTACTGGCCGAGCTTAAAGACGGACGCCATGAAAATGGTGAAAAAATGTGACAAGTGCCAAAGATTTGCAACCTTGATCCACCGCCCTACTAACAGTTTGTCGGCCATAAGTAGTCCGCTCCCCTTTGCCAAATGGGGGATGGATATCTTAGGACCGTACATGCCAGCATCTTGTCAAAGGCGTCATGTGTTTGTAGCAGTAGACTACTTCACAAAGTGGGTGGAGGCCGAGGCTGTACAGGGCATCAAGTGGACGGACGTTTCAGCCTTCATATGGAAGAGTACCATTACATGTTTTGGCGTTCCTCAGTCTATGGTGTTCGACAATGGACCCTAGTTTAAAACGTCTCAACTCAAGGACTGGTTGGAAGACCAGGGCATAGCTCATTGCTTTGCTTCGGTCGGCCGACCACAAGCCAATGGCCAAGTAGAAGCATACAACAAGTTGATCTCCAATGGTATCAAGCGCAAACTTGAAAAGGCAGGCGGCCTATGGGATGATGAGTTGGTAAATATATTATGGTCCATATGAACAACTGCCAAGAGCTCCACAGGGGAAACTCCATCCTTTTTGGTATACGACACTGAGGCTGTCCTCCCAATTGAGATGTACGAGCCCACTCTTAGAGTGATGCTATATGATGAAGCGGCCAATTGGGAAGCCATGAAGACTGCCCTGAACTTCCTTCCAGAAGCTAGGG